TTGAATTAAAATATATTAAAAAATATAATAATTTTATATTTATTCATATAAAAATATTAAAGAGATGAAACTTTTGATGAAACTACAATTTTTCAAAAAAGTGTTTAGGCAGGTATCACTAGGTATAATGAAATTATTTTGAGGGAGTTTCAGCGAGTATCTTTATTTCTTATTCAAAAGTTAATATGACCTGTTGCCATAAATTTTTTGTGATTATTACACAGCGAACTATTTTACTGAAAAAAGTAAAAGATGATCTGATATTCTGGACTGGTGTGGAATTCAGAATTTTAGTGATCTTAATTGATAGTTCAGGATAAATTTAACTACATTTGTTATAGCTAAAGAAGAAATATGTGATTGTCTAATTGGATAATCTGCATTATTATTGCAAGTTTGTAGTCTGCACGTGTTGAAAAACCAATTCAAATAATTTTAGTTTGTTTATTTTCAGGGTGAGGTTTAACAGATGCATCAATGAATAAAATCAATTAAAATCCATTAAAAATTTCATTGGCTGCATTAATCTTTTCTTTGTTTGATCGATTTGAAAGGAAATCGTCACTGGCGTAGTAGGTAAAGAATATGGGATATTATCCTTCCTTTCAAATTTAATAATATTATTAGTATTAGGGCCTTTAAGTCTTAAGAAATTTTCTGAGTTTGTTACTAGAAGTTAAAGGAATTGGATTGACTTTTATTTTTATTTTTTTGGTTTATTATTTCAGTGTTATTGTCTATTAAAGGTGTTGAGTAGTCTGGGGTATCAAATTGAAGTTTTTTAGAAGCTCTTTCATTTGTTAGCGAGCCAAAATGGTTGCATTATGTTTTTGCTTAGATTATTGTTGAAAGTTTTTTTACTTTTCGATTGCTGAGGCATAGTTGAGTGAATCAGCAGAAAGAGTTCTCAGGATATTCTTCTAATCAGATTAATATTACTTATTATATTGATATTATACAAATAATTATATACCGATTAGTAATATTTATTAAATTTATTAATATTATTTATTATTTATTTTATATTAATATGTAATTCTGATTAATTATAATAAAAAAGAATTTTTATTAATATGAAATATTCTGATTAAAACAATTTATATTAATTTAATATATTTGAATAATTCTAATTAATTTTTAAAATTATATTTATTGCTTTAATTGATATATCTATTATAAATTTGCTAAATTTTTTTATTTTAAATCTGTTATTATAAAAAAATAATAAAAATAATAAAAAACTGAAAAATACCTCATAAAAGAATCCTAAAAATTAACTTACTTTTTTAAAGAAATAAAAATCAGTTACTATAAAAAAAAGAAAATATTAGTAAAAACTGAAAAAACCACTTCAAAAAGAGTCTTGAAAAGTAACTTACCTTTTTCAAAAGAAAGGAAGGTCAATTATTATTTTTTAAAAAAAGAAGAAACCATTAGTAATAACTGAAAACCACCCAAAATTATTCTGAAAAGTAGCTTACCTTATCCAAAAGAAAGAAGGTCAATTACTATAAAAAGGAGAAGAAAACATTAGTAACAACCTGAAAACTACCCCAAAAGAGTTTCAAAAAGCCACTTATCTTATTCAAAAAGAAGGTTTGTTACTATAAAAAAAATGTTAGATATTACTAAAAAAGAAAAAAAAGTTTTTTCTAAAGAAAAAAGGAAGAAGAAGAGAAGGTGTAACAATTCTGATTTCCTAAAATGAAGGTTAATTATATATGACTTGATTTATTAGTAACAATAGTATATAAAAATGAAATTTATATTCTAATAAACGAAATTCAATTTTGAATGCGAATTCATTATTGAGATATTTCATCTATGAATACAAAATTCGTCATCGAATCTTCGAAAATCGCTTTGAATGCAAAAATCTTCTTCAAATAAACGAAATTTGACTTCGATTGACGAATTCGTTATTATATCAACGAAATTCACTTTTGATTGATGGATTTCATTACTTCATTTAGCGAAATTCGTCAATTCGTAAGTTAATTCGTTAGCGAAATTCATAACGAATTATTAACGAAATTCGCTAATTGTTAACGAAATTCGTCAATTTGTTAGTAAAATTCTCGAATTGTTAACGAAATTCGTTAATTAGTTAGCTGAAATTCGTAACGAATTTTCGTAATGAATTATTAACGAAATTTGTTAACAATTGACGGATTTAGTTAATTTGTAAACGAAATTTGTTAACAAATTAATGAATTTCATCAGGAATAGTTAACGAATTTCGTTAACTATTGATAGATTTTGTCAATTTATTAATGAAAGTAAAATTTTATATAAATTCTAAATAAAACGATACAAATGTCATATTTTCCACCTGCTTAAAATTGAGTCAATACTTTATTAGTTATTTCTGTTTTTCTATTTATTATAAAAAAATTTTTACACAAATATACAGTATGTATTAAAATACATAATATAATTTATTTCTAGTTTTTAATTATTATAAATGCATATCCTTTCTAAATATATTTGCTGATTTGAATGATAATACATCTATGTTCCAAAAAAACCAAAATTGTCGATCATTGCTAAAATTTAAAACACTCTGTCGGTAAAATTACCAGTTATGGTAAACGTTATATAGTATTGTTTTGAGACCTTTATTAAGTGTAACTATCATTGTGCACAAATTAGTCTATTTGAAAAATCATATTTATCAGTTTAACAAGAACTTTTTATTTTTATACACAAATACAAATGACTAAAAAATTTGTCTACTGCAAAAATTGCAAAAAGGAAAACACGGGTTTAAAATGGTGTCAAAGCTGCAACGCTAAACGCTTGGAAGCCGAATTTTCAAATTGGACGAGCGATAATAAAGAACTTGACGAGTTTCTTAGAGAAACACAGCTTACTGCAAGGTGCTGGCAGGAAGTATTCGAATGGATTCCTTATGCAAATATTACTGAAGTTGAGGAGGTCGGAAGAGGTGGCTATGGAACCGTTTATAAATCAAAATGGAAGGGAGGATGTATCATAAAGTGGATGTCTAAGGAAAAGAAGTGGGAGCGTTGGGGAACTGAATATGTTGCTTTGAAAAGACTCAATGGGGATATTTTCGATTTTATGCTTGAAGTAAGCGAACCTTTTTTACAATATGTTTCATATTTACTAGGGATTATGCATAATTTGGATTTTTACTTTCACTCCTAAGCATATTTGATACATGTACTTCAGAAATTTTAATGACACAACAAAATAACGTTCTTTTGTAATGTTATATCCAGAATTCAAAAGAAATATTATCATTCATGAACTTCGATTAATTCTTAGTTAAAAATACTCCACCAATGTATGAAGTTCAACCGTAACGGCTTTGAGTGCTATGGAGTTACACAAGATCCCAGTAGCAAGAAGTATATGATCGTTACAGATTTTTACAAAGGAGGCGATCTGCGTCACTTTTTTCGTTACCATTCTTATAAACTTAATTGGACAAAAAAGCTGGACATGCTTTTGCAGCTTGCTCGGGATCTCAGAAATATTCACAATGCTAACCTTGTACATAGAGATTTCCATAGTGGCAATGTGCTTGTTGATTCTATCGTATGCATTGCTGACCTGGGACAATCTCGGGACGAAACTTTACAAACCACTACTGAGGTTAGCGGAGTGTTGCCATATGTTGCACCCGAAGTATTATGTGAACAACCATATACCAAAGCTGCAGATATATATAGTTTTGGAATTATTATGTGGGAATTCACCTCCTTTCAATTGCCATTTCTTGAAAGTCCGCATGATATTGATTTGGCAATTAGTATTTATAAAGGTTTGCGTCCAAAGCCGATCGAAGGAACTCCATCCTGCTATGTGGAACTAATGCAATTATGTTGGAATTCTGATCCAATGAAGCGTCCTACGGCTGAATATATAGCAAATACACTGCAAAATTGGTTTGAAAGTTTAGATAAGAACATGATGTATCAATTTCAAGCCTCTGATGAAATTAATTCCGTTCGAGAAATATCACAACTAGTTAATCAATCGGCCATCTACACTAGTCGTCGTTTACCAACAATTCCTATAGTCAATGGTATGTTTTTAAGAATCTTATATTGTAAACCAAGTGATTTTTGCATTCGATCTAAATTTCCTATTTTTTTGCAGATTACAGAACGCGTCAATTCGATCTCACATTGCCTGAAGAAAACTAAATTTGTATTATAAATTGTAAATTTATCAAAGTGTGAAATATGTCTCAGAAAAGTATATAATAAATAATATACTTATTTTTGTTAATTTAATTATTAAATAAATATGCAAATAGCATTCCTTTATTTTTACAAAATAAATGCTAATCAATATATAATATTGAATATACATTTTCACTAAAGCTTTTAGACCAAATCAAATTATCTTTCGAGTGGATTAAATGTTCCATTAAGATCGTATAAGGAGAGAATAAATATTTGGATGTTTTCACCACCATAATTTTCTAGGAAGTAATTTAATCCAAGATAAATCTAAAAATATTAACGTTTGTCAAGCCATTCAATAACTTCAGTAACTGTAGAGATTTTGGCCACTCCATATTTCAAATTGCGCAAAGTTGCCTTTTTATAAATAAGAGAAAATTTTTATTAATACTTTAACGATCTTAAGTAAAAAGAAAACAAATTTTACGAGAAATTGTTTTCTACCTTGTGCATCTCTTCGTTCTCTGTGGCAGTTGCATCTTTAAGGAAAATAATATTATAATCATGGTCAAAACCACCTTAAAAATTTGTAGAATAATTATGTGAATAAATGATATCATTGCATGATTAAATACATTATTAATGAATGAAGGTTAACAGATTAATCATCAGTTGTCACAATCGCTCGTCGCGTAATAAGAAAGAAGTTTTTCCCCTCGAAATAACAGTTTATTCTTATTCTAATACCAGTTCTTGTACAGATCGAATAATATATTGTGGAATAATACCTTAATCATCCTTAATTTGCATATAATGAGTTAACCTTCCTTCATAATTTCTTTAAATTATACTCACTTCTTGCAGTTGCTTCACAACATAAATTTGTCTCTGCACCAGAGATTATGAGTGTCTCAATACCAAGAGAATTGAGTAAGGAATCAAGTTCAGTATTGTAAAAAGCATCATAACGCGTCTTGTTTTTAATAACGAAATCAAGGATATCAATCGAGGTTGAAGATCGCTGAAAGAGAGATTGGTTAAATAGTTAAATGGAAAATTGAAAATTTGTATTAAAAAGTACTAACCGAAATGAGCGGCTGCAATTCTCTCAAAATTTTCCATTTTTCAGAGCCCCATTTTATACTACCCTCTCCCCACTTAAATAGTATTTATTGTTACTTCAAGTACTTTATGAAAACGAAAGAACGAAAATTTAAGTTACATACCCATCGTCCCACAGCACCTCCATCAAATTGGAGATTTCTGTGACCATGTTGGGTCCAAAAAACAGGAATTTCTTTTTCGTGACAAGTTTTGATGATTGATTGCACGTTTGGAACAATATCAATAACCTCGTCACGAAGCGATTCCTATTAAGAAAAGATTTGGTGTCATAAAATTTTCGGGATCACAATTCTTCGGACAAATACTTATCATCACTCACTTGCATATCAACAACTAGCAAGGCAACCGTTTTTTGATCGTAAGAAATGGAGTTTGACATAGGAGATCAGTATATAGATCTTAAGTTAAAAAACAAAGAAGCGATTAAATTGAGAGATAGTTTGGTCTTAGAAAAAACAGGTATGTAGACCGGTTAATTAATGGTCCATACGTAACCGTAGTATGGATGTTTTTTTATCCAATAAATTTTAGACAAATTTCTGTACTATCTAATATTGTTATTATTATTTTTGAAATTAGCTAATTGAGTAATATATTATTACTAAAATCTATTAAGAAAAAGATTAATTCATATTATCGTTTTAAAATTCAAGTATTTGGTTATAGCTTTATCCATAAAAATAAATTCAAAAGGATTTATATTTTTTATTAATTGAATTTTATTTTAATAGAAATATATAAGTAATTATTTGTGTTTCATATATTGCTTAAACTATCATGTAATATCACTGAGATGTTTGATGCGAAAAAAAGCACTGCAATAAAAAGTGTTATTTGCTTTGATTATATCAGAGCGTATCTATCAACCGAAGATTCATAATAATACTTGAGTATAAATAATTTTGCCGGCTTATTTTTTTCACTATTACTTTTCACTATTTATGGAATTCATTACCGAAGAAACGAGAGGTTTTCAAGAACGCGATATTAGTATTAAATTAATTACTCATTTGTGTATACCTTTAAGTTTGTATAGGTGGGATTCAAGAATTCAAAAGCCAGAAAAATGTTACCAGTGGTTAGAAAAATTAAACGAACCACGGCAGAGAAGTATTCACAATTATTATATATTTTATTACTTTTTTTTTTGCACAGAAAATTGGTATTTTTAATGCAAAAAATTGATTTGTATCTTAATAAAACATAGATGATATCAGAGAATAGTAACACCCTTTACGACTCGAAGAGCAAAATAATAAATTTGTCTTGCTATCGACCGATGTCAGTGATAACAATATTTGAATGTCATACCTCTACTGGGGACATACCATATAAGTCGGCTTCCGAGAACAGATCCCAATTATCAGGCGGAGTCTTTGATCGCAGAGATGGAACAGAATGTATCGGCTCTCCCATCCACGGTGAATCTCACATTTACAGCTCGGAAAATTGTGAGATACTTTTTCGAGACATCAATTTGGGAGAGGAAAACGAAAAAAGAGAGAGCGGCGATGTACTAAATCAACAAACAGGCGGCAAAAGGACAATGGCAACAATGTTTTTAAATGTTTCAATCGAGAAAGAATTCAAGAATTTCGACCAAGCTTTGGGAATTGTTCCGAATAGGTACCCTGGATGATTCTACATGGACAGAGAAGACCCCGTGTTATTATGTATTCCCTGGCGCTCAAAATGATTATCAAGGCAACAAAACTAATCATCAACCAGTAAAGGAGTCAATGAATCATCGTGCAACGATCCTCTTATTGTAGTTGAAAAGATCATGAGCGATTCCGATTGTTCTCGTGTTGCTACTTCTCTTTGTCTTGAACTACAAAGTGAACATCAAGAAAACTATGAGTTTAGAGTTTATCTTTTATAAATGGATATTAAAAAATTTTGTTTCAACCATATTATTATCATTGGAGAACGTTATTACGGAATGCTTTTTATGGACTGTTAAGGTCGTGTGTTTAATTGAGATTCTCTTACTCGTGTATTATTGTTTCTTGGAGAATATTCCGAAATAGTTTCAAAGGAGTCCAAGGCCCGGGTTACATGGGACGTATTGGATGATGGAACTGTATTTGAGCTCGAAAAATGTACGTGTTTTTTGCTTATATTTTACTTTAATTCTAAATTATAACTATTTCCTTTTCAGATATATCAGAAGAATTACGCAATAACCTATCTCACTCCAAAAAAAAAGAAAAATTAGAACTCAAAAAATAAGCGTCATTAATTTGTTTCAATTCCTATTAAAATCATTTACTAGGAGATTATTGAAATGAAATACATAGCATTAATATCTAACTAGATATATACTTGAAATAATTTGAATCGTGTGATATTGTGGCAAGTTGATATAATAAAAATTAGACGTTAACATTGCTGATAAGTATTAATAAAGCTTTCTTCCACTGATTTTTGCAACGTGATTCAATCGATATTTTCAATCTGTTAATAATGTTTATTAAATGATGTCTTATAATTTATTTTAAAAAATAATAATAATAATAATAGTATAATTTTTTTAGGTGTAATCTTTAATTATTTATAACTTAAGTTACTTTTAATTATAGTATTATTTTTATTATAATACTAATGGTAGCCTTTAGGTAATGGTAATATTAATAATTAACCATTAGAACCTAAGAAACTAAAAAGAATAATTTTTTTTTTAGATTTACTTTTTAAAATTTATAATATTAAAAAAAAACCTATAATATTTAAATAATTAAAATGATTTACTATATTATTAATAATAATGCTTATTTTATAATAATAAAAAAATATATTTAATAATTAAATAATTGAATAATTATTTATTCAAATTAATTTATATTATTTTAAAATTAAGTTAGTTATTTATTATTAAATTAATGATTTTTATTCTTTTTTAATAATAAATATTATTGCTGATTTAATTATTAGATTATTATTTTTATTATTAAAAAAATAATAAATGTTAATTTAATATAAAATAATAATTTAAAATAAAATTATTAAATATTTTTTTTATTTATTTAATTATATAATAAAAATTTTATAATTACTTAGAACTAACTATATGTAATTTTTAAAAAAAAAATTATTAAAAAATTTATTATTAATCTATAAAATAATCTTATTAAAATATAATCTTAACAAAATTAATTATAATATAATATTATATAAAAAAAATACTTTTATTATTAAAATTATTAATAATAAAATAATTTAATTAATTATGAATTTTTAAAACTTAATTTTTAAATTAATTACTAAAAATTTAAAAAATTTAAAAAATTTATATTAAATTAATATTTTGCATAATTAGCAAATAAATAATAAATATTTTAAGTTTAAAATATATAATGTATATAAAATAATGCCAATTCTTAAAATTATGATAATTATATAAATAATTATTAAACTAATTAAAACATAAAATATATTATTTTAAAACTAATAAATAATAGATTTTATTTAAAAAAAAATTATGCTATTTATTTGCCATTTTTTCTAATAATCTTACTATAATATCATAAATCAAATTTATAAAATTAATTAGATTATTTTGCAATTTTTTTTCTTTATTTAAAAATTTTTTAATTTATTAAATTTTTCTAGTCTATATAACTTCATATTCCTTTTAATAATTAATTCAATGATTTTTAATAAGTTTTAAATATTTTAGATATAGATTATTAAAAAAACAATCCATATTTTAAAATTTTATTTTAAAAAAAAATGATTAGTAAAATACTAAATTACTTAATAAAATGATAAAAAAAATTTTTTTTATTTAAAACTACCAAAACTACCATTTGATATATTTAGAAATCATAAAATTCAATTCAATCCTTTCACAGATATTACAAATTATCAAATATATATATAATCAAATTATTACATTATTTTTATTTTATTTTTTAGTATTATTACAAATAATCTTTAAATACTTTTTTTATCTTTATTTAACTTTTTAATTATTTCAAAAATCATACTAAAAGTATTATTAAGCAATATATGATTTTTAAATCTATATATGTGAGAAATTTAAAACAAGAAATAATTTTATGGTAATACAGAAAATATATATTATATGGGAGGTTTGCTAGGAAAATGGGACTCTGAGACTAAAAAATTTTTTTGAATAAATTAAAAAATCAAAATAA